ACGGGGCCGAGCCTGGAGGGAGCGGGGTCTGCGGCCGTAGCAGCCTGTGCCTTTCGGGGGCTCCTTCCTGCCGGCAGCTCGGGTGTTCAGCCTCCGTGCAAAACCGGCTGAGCTGAAACGCGGGCACCGTCCCTGCCGGCACACCTCCGTGCGCCCCTTGCCTTCCCGCTAGCCTGACGCCCGCTGCAGAAAGGTTTCTTGCATTGGCAGTTTATTAAAGCAGCCCTGCGCTTCTGAAAGTTAGAAACACAAGCACAGCGTATGATTTATTACTAAGACTCTTTGCTTTTTAACCTGTTTCCTTTCCTCCATATTTTTTATGTGCAAAGACCTAGCAGTATATCCCCAGAAGATTTATCGCCTCTTTTAGTCAAACACCAGGCCTGTCACCTTTATTTTCCAAAGGGAGAGGGTGAGTGTGGGGCTGAGGAGGAGGGACACATCTGTTCATATGAGCGTCTGATCCTTTTTCTGCTGGAAGAATAATAGCAAGTCACCAAGCATCAGGAAAACCACAAAAGGAACTGCTTATTCATTTATTCTAGAGAAAAAAAAAATATTTTAAATGAACTGAGCAGATTTGGACTTCTGGTTTAAGCAAAGCAACTTTTCTTTAAATGATGTCTCCCCAGTGTGCTGTCTGAGAGGCGCTCCTGCTGTAACAGTAAAAGTGCTTACGAAACCAGCGTTATATTAAAGTTGGGCTGAACTAAAGAATTCATTTTTACTGCATCCGAAGCTTCCTGCCATCATTTACCGCTGGGGTATGAATATGTATATCGGCGTCTGACCACTTGTCAAAGATTTTGAATGCCTGTGTCACTAATTTCCGAAGTTGGCAGGTTTAGTGAAACAAAAGGAACAAAGTGTGCTGTGTACCAGCAATAAAACTGTGCGCCCAGAACCATCTATCAAGACCTTAGACTCCTGGCCAGCCCCTAAATACCGTCCACAAGCACAATATTTGTGTTTGTTTTTCTTTTAACTAATCTATTCTCTTTTTTTTTTCCCCTCTGACCCTTTTTTCTCTGTTTTGATTTCTTTAAGTATAACCAGTACTACCAGATAGGAAAAACAAATCAAAAAATTGTATAAATGCAAATATTTTTCATGGCTATTTAACAGGTGTAGGTATAGAAATAACAAAATTGGATATTAAAGAAAACAGATTTCGAACGTGAAGATGTGATAGTCTGTCCTCTTCTGCATTTTCATTTTGAAATGATGATGTGAATTAAACTTGTACCAGCTGTCCTGACTCTGAGTTCCTAGTTTTTATAGGCCAATGTTAAATATTAATATAGTATTGCATTTACTTCACTGTGGTTTTAGAGCAAACATAGCCTCCATGGAATGTTTTAAAATGTATGGCTTTTAAAGGCCTAATCCAGCTTCCAGGAAGGTCAAAAGGAATCTCTTTGTTGACCAGGATGAGGCTTGGAGCAGGAGCTCCGTGAGGTCGGCATGGTAGGTTCAGCTGTCCTCAGGTGCAGAGAGCACAGAGACAACAGATCCCTCCTGCCAGATCTGCAGGAAGGCCACATTTGGTAGTAACTGCTAAGGAAATGTGTCACAGTTGATAAGAACGTTGATTTCGCTAATTAAATCACCAGCTTCCAAAAAAAAAGAGGTCTGAAAAAAATCATTCTGATATATATATTTTAGATACTAAGCTACTGCAGGAACTGCAGAGACATTCTTCTGTGGTGAAACTAGGGGAGCTCCCAATCCACAGGCATCAGCAGGATTTTGACCTGGGTTTACTTCTCCTGTGTTGCATCTCTAGTGCTGCGATTGTTAATAAAAAGTTTGCCTTTGTGTCCCCCTTTAGGCAGAGGCTGCTCCCCCTTTAGGCAGAGGCTACTCTCTGCTCCCCTCTTGTGCAATCCCCAAGGGAGCGGCAGGAAGGTATGCCAGGGGAGGTTTAGGTTGGACATTAGGAAAAGGTTCTTCACCCAGAGGGTGGTGGAGCACTGGAACAGGCTCCCCAGGGAGGTAGTCACGGTGCCAAGCCTGACACCATTCAAGAAGCATTTGGACAATGCCCTCAGACATGTGGTGTGATTTTTGGGGTTGTCCTATGCAGGGACAGGAGTTGGACTTGATCCTTGTGGGTCCCTTCCAACTCAGGACATTCTATGATTCCATGATTCTATGATGGCAGCTGTCTCCATCAAACAGGCACAACTACCCTTCTCTTTAGTTGAATCCCAAATTGCCCTGTCCTGCAAGAAATATCCTGTAAGGGCTTAAGTATTTACTTGAAAGTGCATATGGGGTTGGTTTATTTTTTGTGTGGATAAACGGCATTTCACTCACTTGAGTGGATTTATCTCACTTGTGCCAAATAAAAACCAGAGGCAGGTTTCGGTACTGCTCTTGCCAACACAGCCAACCTTGAAAGTCTGAAGATACATGGGCAGTTTTCCTATGAACTGCTGAGGTCTTAACTGACTTCTTTGGGCTTGGTTTTTGCTTTCTCTGAAATTCTGATGCAGTTTACAGAATGTGATGTGACTCTAGTGGCGATGAACTGGGTTGCTCTGACCCAGAGAGACAAAAACCTTTGCTCTGCTTCCCTTTTGTGAAGGTTACATCTGTGCAACCACATCCTTAAAGAACTTGTCATGCTAGCAGATTCATTTGCATCTATTTATGTCATTTACTTTAAGTTAAACCCACAAATAATTAAGAGTACAGGAAAAAATGTCATGCAGACTGTTGGTGTGCATCCTTCATCTGCAGTCTGAGGACATCCGATGGCTCTGAGTATCTCACTTTTAGACTGTTCTTTGTTGGGTAACATTCCTGCAAAGTACCTGTGCTGACTTTGCTTATTATTTATTCTTAGCTGAAGCCTTCCAGCTTCCAGGTGATGTGTCATCACTAATTTTGAGTGAAAAACGCTCTTTTTAAAAGCTCATATGGCTATTGCTCTGATTGCTGTTGTTTATAAAGCTTAGTATTAAAACTAATGAAGGTGAGATTAGTCATATAACAGGCAGAGAAGATGATTTCATTGTAGTTTAAGGTGTTATTATTTACCAGGCTTACTGTCCCCACAGCAAACCTATGGGGAAAGCACATTATAGCACTCCTCAGCTGCAAGATCAAGCAATTTTTCTTAGACGACTTCTGAAATCATTGCATCCATACATGCAGAAATTATCACTGCCAAATCGATTGATTGTAAAAATAGATATTAAAATGTCCTTAAAGAGATTCATAGTTCCTACCAGTAATTTTACTACACTCGGTTTTCTGGGTTCGGGCTTTTTTTGATGATACTTTTACTATGATACTTTTGGGGTTCCTTTAGAGTATAAAACAAGTCAGTGACCCATGAAGCTGTAGCATGAGGGCCAATCATATTACCATTTCAGGTGGGCACTACTGATGTTAGTAAAGCCCTGGGACTTTGGCTTAGCTACTAGAGTCCAACTAGAGACTGGCTCTTCCAAACACTCCTAAATAATGTCACACTTCTATCTTGACTAGGGTAATAATAAATAGGCTCAGCTCATATCTTGCTTGATGTAACCATCAGGATTGGTTATTTCACCCTGGCTCTTCATTAAATATTGTCTTGAATTTCAAAGTACATAAAGGCTAAATTGAGTTACAAGCTTCTAAAAACAGCCTGGTGCAAGCAGAGTTCCCTTTAAAAACAAAAATAAAAAAAATTACCATCTAAATTGCACACAGTTTAGCGTGGTGAGTTGCTTCATTAAGAACATAAGGACTGTGTTGAATAAAACCCTGTACGCTGCTCTCTAAAACTATGTCGTTATTCTTGGCTGGTTGTTGAGAAAGCCCTCCCTGCAACTCCCTTGCTGGGAGAGCCACCTGCCAAGCCACACGCATCCCTGTCACCTGCGAAGCCATGCGCGTCTCCCAGCCTGGGACGGCTGACTGGAGCACCGGGATGTGCCTCAGCCCCATGCCCCGGGGGAGGATCCCGCCATGCGTCCGCTCCTCCTCTGGCTGCAGAGCCCCGTCCCGTTGCCCACATTAACAAATTAAGACAGACCTATAAAACCCACAAAGCGTGTTTTGGTTGGTTTAATCAGGGGAAAATGCGCTGCTTTTCTTCTTCTTCCTTTTGCCCTGCTTCTTTTTAGCATCCTTTCGTATCTGGGAGGGAGGGATCATTCTGGACTGTTTTGGGTTGGGAGCTGCAGGCTCTGACAGTCGACATTTTATGATTTATTTCTGAATAAATATTTCTTGGATTTGACCAGCACTGCCTTGTTCTTCACCCCAGTCAGAAATATCACCGTGTTTTCTGAAGTGTCTCAGGAATACTTGAGGGGTATGGTTACATGGGCCAGATATTAAAAGCAGCACCACTTACGCTTGCCCACAGCTAACCCATTGAGACAGCCAGTTACAGCTTTTGAAGAAAAATGTAGAAGTCAAGCTATCTCAGCCTAATGACTGTCAAAGTAAGTGAGATTAGTCACGCTATAAATGCCTCAGGGCTCACTCAAGTAGGATGCGGGGGTGCTGGTATCTTGATACGTATATAGGCATATCACAGTAATGTTCCCTTATCTAAAATCTGTAGCAATGCTAGGTGGAGGAGTTAGGTTCAGACTTCAGAAATCATTATTCTCCTTCTAGGGCATCAAGAGCAGAAGCTATTTTCAAGCCTGTAATGCAGCCATTCCTTTTCAAGGGACATATTATCCCAGCCACCCCCCTTCTATCCTTTAGGAGGTCATTCTTGTCTTCCACTTGAGCTCTATAGAGACCATGTAATGAAGGAGGAGGAGATTTGCTTACATGCAGTAACTTACATGCACTGAATGTATCTCTTCTACACCACCACAGCGGTGCTCTCTGCTCTCAGCACCCAGGCTGCAGAGAGCTGTTAGGAGTAGAAGAGCAAGGACAGATGTCTAGCAGAGATAGGAACTGGTGATCTTATGGGACGTGTAGTTACCCTTCCTTCACTCCAGTTGTGGCTAAAAATAGCCTGTCTTATGGCTACCAGGCAAGGTTTTCTGAAGAGGTGTTTAATTTGCTTTTAAACCAGAAGTTCCCATGTTGTTGAATTCAGAAACAAATTCTCCAAGTGACATTTCTGAATTCTGAAAAAAAAACCAGTAATTACACCACCAACGCTCACCAACAGTGAGAGCCAATAAAGTCCTAAAGAAAAAGTCAAAAATTAAGTGTAAAAATGGCTGTTTTGTTATATTTCTAACAGCTATTTTCAAAGCACTGAACATGGGGAAATGTTTTGACAACCAAAAAAGGTTGAAAAATGGCCACGTTTTGACTACTGTTTCACCTGAAAAATGTTAACCAGCTATAATTTGGCACACAGCTCCTTCTCTGCAACTTGCAGAGAAAGAATAAGTTATTGCTAGTAAATAACTATATTTTCTAACAATCTTTGTAACTGTAACCGTTTTTAAGCAGTACCAAGCTTATCAGCTAGAGGTGGGAAGCTCAATATGCTATTGCCATGCAATTCCCCAATCCCCCGAAACAGAAGACTTAGTGGTATAGTCATATTAATGACTAGCGCTACAGAAAGGTCAGGGGAGAGAGAGAGCATCAGTCGGACCCGCTTTGCTCTATAGTGGAGTGTGCACTTATTTTTCCTTGCAACAGAATTAATGACCAAGAAAAAGTGAAAGGATGTGAGAGAACATGACATTTGACTGTAGAAAGAAAATGTGCTTACCAGGGAATGAAGACAACTGGGTTTTTTTCACTCGCACCGAGAAAAAGAAGATTTGAACATTCAAAAAGAAAAAGTGAATACATACCAATGCAATTTTGGGGGTTTTGGTGCTTTTTTTCTTTTTTCAAAATAAATAGTGCTGAATATGGGGGCACTGTTTCAATCCTTAATTAACAGAGTGCCTAATAAACATGTGCCTAAGTTTAAAAGTATGCAGTTTCTTTTTTATTATTATTATGAAACTAAAGCATGAGATTAACTGAGAATTAATGTGTAAAGAAATCTCCAGATGGACTGGTTATAGAGTGCCTTAAGCCTTAAGTAAGATGCATCCTTTACAGAACTATGGGAGAACTAGTTCTGTAGGGTATATTAATATCTAGCACTAGTCAATAGTTTTTAACACATCAAAGCTCTACACTAAACTCATTAGCAATGGATCCTCTGGATCTAAAAGAATAATTTCTTTGTAGCACTAAATCCGGTAAATTAAACTGTTCCCTGACACTTTAGTCAGCAACCAATTAGATAATTTTATTAAATATTTTTATAGTACAAACAGGAATTTAAAAAATACTTATATTACTGCTGTTACCAATTTATTCTGAGCATTAAATAGCTGCTGTCCTATGCTAAAAACCAGGGCCAAATCCTGCATCTTCGAACACAGGAGCATTCCCTCAGTTCCTCTGGCTCAGGTCCTCCACACCAGCTTCCACATGCACCACCACGACCTCTCTGGCCATCAATAACTGCTTCAGGAGAAGTAAAAAGCCCTGCAGCTGCACCACCTCCACCTTGCCCACGCAGCCAGCAAGCTGTTAAGCACATACTGCATGGCTGACCAGGGTGCGCGCAGAGGAAATGTCTGGGGACTCTGGTCTGAAGTGCACGGTCCTGAAATTTACCCAAACAAGATTTATGTGCAGGAAATAGTCTTATCTAGTGAGCCCAATATATAATAATTTTAAACTTTGGATCAGTAGTAATTGGGGACTGGCTTTAATTCAAGTCCTAGAGCAGGCACACTAATACTCTTTCCAAAATATTTTGCTGGTAATTTTTTTGACAGCAGCTGAACATTGAGCAGATGTCTTCACTGAGCTGTCCTTTTTCTGAAATAATACAGTGAACTGAAAGTCCTGTAAAGTGTCTAAATTGAAGTCTGGATGTGCCTCTCTAAACGGTATTAGCCTGTATTTGCAGGCACTGCATTTCATTTGCCTTTGTGTTGCCCACTTACCTGACTCACTGAGGTCTTGTCACAGTTCTTCCAAACTTGGCTGCTCTGTTTGGCTGTCTCATGACATTTGTCATCCTCAAACAAATTAGTAAGTTATAAACTGGTTCTTGCCATCGTCACAAACTTGGTTCAATAGTGCCAGGCATGGTCTGCATTTGTGTCCCACCACAGTTCTCCCTGAAGCAACATCTTCTGTTAGTTGGTGCATCTCCCTTGCCTTAGTTGGAGAGATGGCATGATATACTCCAGTGTTTGCCTTCCACAGCACCTTCCTTCATGTGAACAGTTGCCTTTCCCCAGCTGGAGGGTGCCTGCGAGGTGGACTGCCTTGCAGTGTCCCTGGCACAATGTCTGTGAGCAATTCTTCTCTCACTCTTGTTTAGCAAGTGATGACTTTCAAATGTATCTGCTCCTTGAGGAGCCTGGACCTCTTGCAACTCCATCTTTGTGTGCAAGTGCAATAGCTGCGCATTCAGCAGTAACTCAGTGTCGCTAAAACAAGCTGCTGGCATTCAGCGCCTCAGCTCGAGAGGGACTGGGTTGGTTTGCAGTGGTTAATCATCCGAGGGAAGATTTTCACTGGAGGACTTTTAGCAGGCAGCCACTAGTGTGATTTATAGCCCTCTCGCCTCTCGCCACTTGTGGCTCTGCTGGAGTGGAGAGCAAAAGCCTTGCACAGCAGCATCGGATCTAGGGGCTTGTTAGGGGCTCCTGGGTCAGCTTCGGGAGCTCACTTCTGCTCAAGCCAGACAGCCCCACGCACACTCTGTCTTCTCCACACGAGTTTTTCTGCTTGGGAGAGAAAATCCATGAGAGAAGGAAAAAAACCTGTATCTCTCCCTATATGCTTAGTTGCTTAGTCATCACACAACTGTCCTGAAGCCCAGCTTTAAGGAACAAAAGTCAGCTCAAACTCTCCTGGCTGGCATCAACTACACTTCAGTGACACCAGCAGACTGTAGGGTCTGACCCACAGCCCCAGGCAAAACCTGGGCTGCTGCTCTCCACTAATCTCCCCATGGTTAGGGGACCTCCTGCAAACCAGCTTCAGCCCCCAAAGCTTTCATGGCAATGCTCATAAGCGCAGGACTGAGAGGACTCGAGGGGGATAGCAATCCACTGTCTTGTACTACTGCCTCTCCTTCAAGAAACTAAATAAAACACAAGCCCATTTCAGCCTTTGCAGTTTAGAGCATTACCACAGTGGAGGTACAATGCAGTTATGATGTCTGATTGTGACTCAAGGAAAAAATTGAATAGGGAGATGTCTTTGAATGCAGAACCAGTACAGGCTATGTTCTGAGGTGCAGGAAACCTAAAAAGGACTAAATCTTTAAAGAACTACATGTAGATTCATAAAATGTTTTGGTGAACACATTAGTTATTTCGGAGAGCACTAATGTTGACTTAAAATATTTAGCTTTTGCATTTGATGTAAAGTATTCACATAGACCGAACGTAGTCATGTGTTTAGGGAATTAAGAACTTTACTTCTAAGTGTTACTTATTATTCTTATATACAACAGCCCGAGGAAATTTTCTTTTTCTTATCTACATTTCAGTCTCTTTGCTTAGATTTCTTCTGGGATCTGACCTATAAAAACAACTGGATTTATGATACACTAAAGTTTACAGCAAACACTTAACAAATACTCCTGTTTCAGATACGAAATTAATAGTGTTTAAATATAGTCTCAGATGTTATCATTTTTGCTGTTTACTGAGTGAAGTAGTTTTCTAGCAAATGTCAAGGAACCAGCTCATAGCTAAATATGCCAAGGAAAGTAACTGCACACCGCCATCTACAGTGCAGGCTGGGGATATTGCAGGAGCTGGGAGGCAGGAGAGCGGGTGTTCACAACCAAAAATGCCCCAGGTTCTCCTTTTCTGGCAGCAGCGTCTGTTGGTGCAGGGCATGCGTTGCAGAAGGGCCGTTATGACACAGAATGTGCATGACTGTCGGGTGAGGAGTGAGAATGAACACAGAGTTTGGAGAGTAATTATTTCTCTGAACGGTGTTTGGAGTATTAAGGACATATTTGAGAATGGCCAGGTGAAACGATGCAGGAGGGCAGGAGGGGCGCACATCCCATTTCTGGTGGGAGAGCTCCCGCAGGGACAGCAGGCTGCAGGCATCACAGCAGCCCAGTTTGCGCAGTGTGTTGCGAGAGCACTGTGTCGGGTCCCGGCTGCTGGTGGAAGTGGCTATTTCAGACACCAGCACTCTCTTCCTCCCCGCTCCTGCCCTGTCTTTGGCTCTCTGCAGGTACCTCTTGCCTCACCTCGCCTCCCTGCCAGCAGCTGCTACTGCCCACCGTTTGCCTTTTCTAGGAGCCGAGTTGGGATGGTCTACATTGACTGCAGAAGGGAGTCTTGGACCACCCCCAAGTCCAAATTGTCCATACAACAAGGCTATGTGCTGGTTTTGGCTGGGATAGAGTTAGCTTTCTTCATGGTACCTGGTATGGGGCTATGTTTTGGATCTGTGCTGGAAACAGTGTGATAACACAGGGGTGTTTCAGCTACTGCTGAGCAGCGCTTACACAGCGTCAGGGCCTTTTCTGCTTTGCACCCCACCCCACCAGCGAGCAGGCTGGGGGTGCACAAGAAGCTGGGAAGGGACACAGCTGGGACAGCTGACCCAAACTGACCAAAGGGATATTCCATACCATAGGACGTCATGCTCAGCATATAAAGCTCAGGGAAGAAGAAGGAAGGGGGAATATTTGGAGTGATGGCATTTGTCTTCCCAAGTAACCATTATATGTGATGGAGCCCTGCTGTCCTGGAGATGGCTGAACACCTGCCTGCAGATGGGAAGTAGTGAATTAATACCTTGTTCTGCTTTGCTTGTGCACGCAGCTTTTGCTTTACTTATTAAACTGTCTTTATCTCAACCCACAACTTTTCACACTTTTGCCCTTCCGATTCTCTCCCCCATCCCACCAGGGAGGAGTGAGTGAGTGGCTGTGTGGTGCTTAGCTGCCAGCTGGGGTTAAACCACGACAAGCTGCAAGCATCCACTTCAGGCGCAGCTCCATAAGGACACATCACATGGTCCTGGGGAAGAGAAGCAGGAGGGTGCCCAGCGTACCACGTGCATAACGTATACACAGCACATGGGCCACCTTTTACCTTCTCTCCAGGGTTACCTCTTGCAAGTGAAAAAACTCAAGAGAAAAATCCATCACTGCAGAGCTCCTCCCTCAGCTCCCCACTGATGTCTTCTACGCACAACCGTCCTCTTCAACAAGCTTTTGAGGGACACTAGATGGTTAAAAGAAACTGGGAACCATTGCATAGGGCAAAAGTAGACACAGAGGAAGAACTAGCGATGCATGCAGTTTCTGCTTTTACCATCCACTTCTGTGTGCCTTGCAGACCACCAGCAGCCCATGGGTTGTCCCTTGAAAATCCCCAGCGCTCAGCAGAGCATACTCTGCTCATAACCTGGCTGCTGAGGTCTTTGCTACTGGATGGCTATGAACTGCGTGCATCCCACTGTGGTTATTACTTTATTACTGAGGCTGTTTGTTCATTTTCTGTACTAATAATCTGTTGGGTTTTAGACTAAGAGGTAGGTGGAGCAAGGGCTGGCACCAATACGTGCTGGGACATAGCCTAGCACAACTGGGTTTGATAACAGTCTGATAATCAACTGGCATCTCAATATAAGTCTTTGACAACATATAGTTAGTAACAACAATAGTAGTTAGTAGCCTCAGCCCTAAGTAACTGTTTATCCAATTATAAAAACCAGTCCTAAATTAGCTGACTTCTGAGTCGCCTTTAGCCTCCCTCTCAGAAGAGAAGTCAATATTTATTATACAGACTGGCTGTAGTCCCCTGTATTATCCACGTTTGGCTTCCTCTAATGAGTTTATCTCATCTCAAATTGATGATGAATTATTATGAACTTACTTTGGACATTTTACTTTAGACTTTTGGCTCAATGTCCTGGAAATTTCTTCAGTGCCAGATTGTTGACTTCAGTCTTAATTAATGATCGGTTGTTATCAGCTTAGTTCAAATGTTTAGTTTCTAACTTTTGGTTGTGTAGTCTAAACATTTCCAAAGCCCAGATAGACGGCTTTAACTTAAAATGTTATGATTTCGATATTGACTTGATACCTTCCTGGCTGAGTGTGAAGATTTTATTCTTCCGTCACTTTGATTAATAGACCTGTTATAAATCCTACTCTTCAGGGTACCAAGGAGTGAAACAGCTAAACACCATGTAGATTAACCTAGTTAAGAGTTAATCTTACATTTCTGTGAGAAGCTTTTTATTTGCTCAGAAGCTGCTTCACTCTTTAGTACAATTTTCAAATTATGAATTACTGTACTTCTCTGCAGTCACCTATTTGTCTTTTTCTTAGCCTGAACTTTTGTTCTGCAGCTCACATGCTGTATGGTTAATCATTGTTACTCTATTACACAAGCACTTAAGAGTTCAATTTATGTATGAGGAAAGTATTCTGCAAAGTTCTTTGCTAGCAAATTGCAAGGTCTTTACCCCTAAGAGTTCAGACAGGATCTTTACAGGAAGCACTGGTCGTTCTTCCATCATTACCCAGTCATCAGGCATTCTCAGCTGCAGATGCTAGACCATTCACAGATTCCATACCGGCTTGTTCCCGTACCCTCCATCAAATATTCTTTAGACATTACAAATGTGCTTTGGGAAATCACAGTCTTTAGCACAGTAAAAATAGAAATGCTCAGGTTCATTTTTACTAATACAGCTCATGTTGTCATATCAGCTTCTAATCAAAGATGCATTCATGTTTTGCAGGCTTACTCTAATACCCTCTTACTAACTAACCAAACAGATTTTATCAATTGTTTCCTAAAACAGAATTTGAGTGACTTCTGGTTAACAGGAGCCGTGTTTGAAACTGAAGACACTTTTCATATTCTCAAGTTCATTGTACCAGCCAGGGCTTTTTATTTAGTTGGAGAAGTTGCACTGAGACTGAGACACTAAAACAATTATCAGTCTTGAAAATCATAAAAAACACTTCATATTTTTTTGTTTCGGTCATCTGAGATTCTTAAAACACTCATGAAATTTGTTGATTTATGTTCTGGGAGGGATATATGTGACTTCTCTGTCTTGCACTTACCAGCGGTCATAAAATGGAATTAACATCCTGTCTTAGCGCATACTTCAGGTTTATGCAAAGAATACTGTAGAGTATTCCCATCACTTTGGGATGAAATATTAGATAAGCTCAGTTTTTTTGTGAAGATTTCTTCATATCTCTCTCTAAAGAAATAGCATAACAGGTAATCTAGTTATCAGCTGGCCCAAAAAAGCACTGCACTTACTTAAAACCACCCGAAGTGCGAGGAGTGAACACATCTGCTCAGCTCCTTGCATAGCCATGTGGAGACTCATCACAGACACAAAAAGGATTTGTAGCCATTCTGAGACTTATTTTCACCCTAATTCAGTTAAATAAAACAGCAGCATCCATGTGATCAAACTTGCACATCCCACTGGTGCATTAATGGCACATGAGCAGCAGTGGACTGGTGACACGGAAGCCCCTATGGAAAATGTGTAGGTGCCCAAAGTAGCAGGTTCCTTACGGTGCTAGAGCCAAGACTTCTTTATTCTGATGGCCTCTGGTGACCACGAGGCAACGTAATCGTACAGATAATTTATTTGTTTTGTTCCACTCTCATCTCTAATAAGTTTATACAAACCTTTGACTTCCGCCCCGCCGTACAGGTCAGGGACATCAGATACTGTCTCTTTATGTGTGCAAAACTCATGACTATTATCTGCTTATTAAAAGGGAAGCCTGCCTTACCAGCAGTTGTCCTGATTAATTCCCTGATGAGAAGTGGGATGAACTGTTAAATCCTGCCTTTATTGGAGTGCTTAGACCTCTGTGCATAGACAAATCAAAAATGGAGGATTATTTTGTACCTTGGCTGCAAGCATGATTGCTCTGGCAATCATAGTTGTTGTATGAGCGAATGTGCTCAAAAGTGGATGTGTAAATGAAGTTCTGGGCATAAAGTTATAAATTCTGCCACTCAGCAAAAAGTGCAAAGTTACACCAAGGTAAATGGAGAGATCTTTTTCCTTCTGTATTTATTTTTTTTCTTTATTGGCTAGTTGAAGAGGTAAGATGTCCACTGATAGACTTATAATGAAATGTCTCATAAGTTATGATGCTTACTTGCGTTCTTTTTTACTCATTCAGATGTTGGTTTGAATATCGTAGAGCTCAGGAGATCTCCTCTGAGATAACTTCAGAGTCATACTGATCTTGGTCAGATAATCTGTCCTGAAACAGCAGATAAATTTTAATGGGTATCAGATTATTTTTCTCCTGGCTAGTTGCACCAATACTATAATATTACTATTGGGGGTAGTTAGCAAATATGCTTTGGTATCGATGCACGAATATTTTCTAAATCTCATTGACTAGCTTAGCAGTATAATGAAACGTTATATGATGCCTGTGCAGATTTTCCTACAAAGAGCTTTTTCTGTCCTACTGGGATGTCTGTAGAATAGAACAAGTTCTCTAAAATCTAAGTGATTTACAAAGTCTCCTTTTTTTGCTGCAATTCTTCCTGAGAATTCAATGTCCATTTGTTAAATGGCATCATTCCCTATCTGGTACAATCTGGCATTTACTACTGTGAATTCAGTTTAACACTAATAACATAATGAAAATAGTCATCATTTGCAAAAGATGTGCAGCTCCAACCACATGTGTGCCTCCAGCCCTGTGCTGCTGACATTCCTGCCTCTCCCTCTGAGCCCCAGGAAGCCTGGCCAAGTGTCCGCAGTGCGTTCGGGACATTGCTACTGGACAACCGATGCTTGCTAATGTGCAACCAAACTGACCGTGACCAGGGGATGCAAGCCTCCTTTGCCCATTCATACACCTTATGTAAAGGTCATTTGTGCTCTAGGAATGACAGAGTTAGTCTCTCAAGGTACCCCTATATATCCAGCCACCCCATCTGTCCCACACTCCAACAATACAGCTTCCTTGGAACAGATGTTTTCTTTGCAAAGCAGCTGAGTCTTCCTCACGTGGAAGAACACAGAGGCAATTCAGTGGAGACAGGCGGGATGATCAAGCTTGGCTGCTTTCAGGACCAGCTTCTTGGTGGTGCGTGTTCTAAGGTGGTTCTGAGTTTTGCGGAAGAATCCTACACTACAGACTCCATTAACATTGTTCTTTGGACTAACTATCTCATACCTATCTGGAAGAGTCAGAGAAATTGAGGGAGACTTCTGAGTAATTTGCCTCAGATTCAGTGCAGACAGAACCAATGTGATTACAGGGAAGTATCCTACCACCCTCAAAAGTGTATGTTCCCCATGAACTTTAGTCAAATTTATAGCTTCTCTCAGACCAATAGCTATGAACAAGATAGCTGCTTTCTGTCTAGATACAGACAGAAAAATATTCGTCCTCAAAAAAAAATA